CTTGTTTTCCCCCACGTGTGCCATCAGATAGGCTCGCCAGCTCTAAGTTGGGAATACCTTGGAGATTTTGGGGGTGGAGCCTGAGTGGTGGGTGTTGCCTTCTGACACACTTCCTGCGATGTCAGGGGGTGTGGCCTTATGACACACTGCCGGTGATGTCAGGGGGTGTGGTATATGCTAATGAGTTATGCTAATGAGCTCCGGCAGCTCTTTTTCACCATGTTTACTGTTCTCCTTGGAGAAGAGGTAAGATTAAAATGTACTAGATACCTTAATTCCCAGCAACTGGGAGCTAGAGATTGAATGATCTTTGAAAATGATAGGTATACTTCAGGAGATCATAGCATCAAGATACCTGTCACCTCCTCGCTTTTATTTATTTTTGTTCTTATAAATCTTTTTATACTAGGGGCCATTGCATTGTCTGGATGCACATTTGTGGCAGTAGGCTTGGAAACTGTGTACTCGCTGTGCCACTCTCTGAAAACAGCTAACATTTTCACTGGTTGGAGGCTTGGAAAGCAGCTGCAGGGCGGCAACTCTAAAGAGATCCTTGCGTAAAGTTTCAGAGGAAAGTTGGTTCATTCTTTCTCATACATCACAAATGTGCCCACACATGCACACATACACAAGAGCAACAGAAGAGATAGACATATTATCCATTGGAGGAGAAGATCCTGGAATGGGTTGCTTCTCCTGTCCACCTGGGACTCAAGAACAAGATTTTCTTAAAGCCTTAGAGATAGGGCAGCCCCTCCCAATTTTGGTCCTTCCTCCACAAAGGGAACAGGATCTGCCAGTACTTCATCCAGAGCCGCTCTCAGCTAGCTTAGAAGCGTTGTTGCATGAGAGGGGTGCATGTCCAAAGTCAATGTCCCACTGTTTAGTCTGCTTCCAGACATGAGGGAGCCTCAAGAGCATGCCAGCTTTCTAGAAAGACTTCACAGATACAGCATCTCTTTCTCAGAAGAACCAGCCATTGCAGACAGTTGGCTTCCTACCCTACTTTGCTGGACACCTTCCCTCCCTTCTAAGATTGCAGGCTTCTGGCTGCCACGGGCTGCCTCTCCCAGGCAGTGGATATTGAGAGCTAGCACAGTTTGTGCCATGGCTTCAGTTCATTCTCAAGGGCATGAGATTCAAAGCCACCAAATTCAGACAATGGCAGCCTGCTGTTCTTGAGGCATACCCCAGCAGTGGAGAAGTGGTGGCACCTGCTGAGCAGGTGGGGGCAGCCCCAGTTTGGTGTAGTGGTTAAGTGTGCGGACTCTAATCTGGGAGAACCGGGTTTGATTCCCCACTCCTCCACTTGCACCTGCTGATGTGACCTTGGGTCAGTCACAAGCTCTGGCACAGCTGTCCTTGAAAAAGAGCAGTTTGTGTCAGAGTTCTCTCAGCCCCACCCACCTCACAGGGTGTCTGTTGTGGGGAGGGGAAGGGAGAGGAGTTTGTAAGCCGCTCTGAGACTCCAAGTGAAGGGCGGGGTATAAATCCAATCTCTTCTCTTCTTCTTCTTCTCATTCAGCTCTTCCTGCAGCTCCTTTCAAAGGCCTAAGGAGGCATATGTGCTAAGGATACAGCACCAGAACATGGGGAGGGAGACAAATAAAAAGAAGCAGAGCCATCACAAGCCCAGCTGTTCCACCAGCCACACTCATAGCACAGGCATAGCTGGTATGCTTCTGCTAGCCAGATTCAGACTGCACAGCCAGGTCCCAAGTCAGGTGGAGAATGTTGTGGCAACCGCTATGTGAATGGGGCCTCTGATCTGGCACCAGGATCTTTGATCTGGCACTGGGGCCCCTTTCCTTAGGAGGCATTGGCAATGAAAC